TTCGATTTGCCGACGATATAGTCCTTATGGCAGAATCGCTGGAGGACTTAAGCACTATGCTCAATGACCTCAATAGTGCCTCCCAACGGATAGGTCTTAAGATGAACATGGACAAAACAAAGATCATGTTTAATGTCCATGTCACACCTATGCCGGTAGTTGTTGGGAGCACTATGCTCGAAGTTGTTGACGAGTACGTTTACCTGGGACAAATAGTCCGACTAGGTAAGTCCAACTTCGACCGAGAGGTCAATCGACGGATTCAACTCGGCTGGGCAGCGTTCGAGAAATTACGACACATCTTCTCGTCAGGTATACCTCAATCTCTGAAAACTAAAGTGTACAACCAGTGCGTGTTGCCAGTGATGACTTACGGATCAGAGACGTGGTCCTTCACTGCTGGCCGTATGAGGACGCTCAAGGTCGCTCAGCGAGCTATGGAGAGGGCTATGCTTGGTGTTTCTCTGCGTGATAGACTCAGAAATGAGGATATCCGCAGTAGAACCAGAGTGACCGACATAGCACAACGGATTAGTAAGCTGAAGTGGCAATGGGCCGGCCATATAGCTCGAAGAACCGATAACCGATAGGGAAGAAAGGTTCTCGAGTGGCAGCCTCGTACCGGTAGGCGTAGTGTAGGGCGACCCCCTACTAGATGGAGTGACGACCTGGTAAGATATGCAGGAAGTCGATGGATGCAGGTGGCTCAGGACCGTGCTTTGTGGCATTACTTGGGGGAGGCCTACGTTCAGCAGTGGACTTGTGAAGGGCTGTGATGATGATGATGATGATGATGCATATTCTCAAAATGTTTAGCTCCAATGCCGCGCCTGTTGCAAACCGATACTTCAATATGAATTCTCGCCTACTTTGAAGTTCACTGCGAGCGTCCTGCTTCTGAGATAACATGGCTCCCGAATTATTTAATTCATTTATTTATTCGTCCATTCATTATAACCTGTTAAGATCCAATAACACACGTATAGACCTCTCCATATTACTCACTAATACTGCCTCATGAGGAAGAAACCTGTAATAGTTGCCAAGTGAGGCAGACCGGCTGGAAACCGCAGTTTTTATTTTCTGATTGTCACTAGGAAGCGCTGCTTATCAACTCCTAGTTTGTTTCTCTCTCTCTCTCTCTCTCTCTCTCTCTCTGTCTCTCTCTCTCTCTCTCACACACACACACACACACACACACACACACACACACACGCACACGCACACGCACACGCACACGCACACGCACACGCACACGCACACGCACACGCAGCACACGCACACGCACACGCACATGCACATGCACATACACATACACATACACATACACACACACACACACACACACACACACACATACACACATACACATACACATACACATACACACACACACACACACACACACACACACACACACATACACATACACTTACACATACACATACACATAACATACACATACACATACACATACACATACACACATACACACACACACACACACACACACACACACACACACACACACACACACACACACACACACACACACACACACACACACACACACAACACTCACTGCTGTGAAGTAGTGGAAATTCTTACCCCACCATTACATACACTGTTAAAACTTAATTATATATTATAATAAATATTACTGTTGTATTAAAATATTACGGATGGCCATTGCCAGTAATTCATTAGCTAATTGACTATCGAGCCATAGCTTTAACGATTTACGCGTTGTTCAAATTAATAATATTGCGTTATTTCCGATAATAAATTTTGACAATGAGTACAATGTAATTTTATTATCTGTGTATGTTAAACATGATGTTAATTCAAATCCTCTATAATTTATTGGTCACATGTGGCTCAGGATCGTTCTTTGTGACATTCCTTGAGGCTAATGTTCAGTAGTGGACTTGTAATGATGATGATGATAAATTTATAGAAATCTTCTTTATACAGAATTTATGTCAACTTTTTCTTCAAATACGAGTAACTTGTACATGGTAAAGCCACGCTGCAGCTATATTATGGTTGTATAGCACTATTGGTTCAGCTGGACCGGGGCAGGACTACGCTCTCACAGAATACCAGCATAAAATAGCAGCGTAATGCGGCTGTGTTTCGTATGGTAAGTATAGAGAACCGAAGATCCTTTTTACTGGAAACAATGCATTCATTCCATCTCTTCATCATTCATCATTTATAACCGAAGAAAGCTGTGTATGGGCCAAAGCATCCACTTACTTATAGGTAGACTGTGTGATCATTTGTCGCTCTTATTTTATAAAAAATACTACAATATAATATCATTAATGAAACATATTAATTTATCAACTTCATATCGTCTTATAATTTTTATGCGTTAAATGACTAGCACAAAATGGGATCATAGCGACCAATTTAATTAACTGCGGAAACGGTAGTCGTTCAGAAAGTTTGCTTTTAGCAATATAGTGTAATAAAAAAGTAAACATTTTGTATGATATCTTAGATCAATTATTAAAGTTACGTTTTCATCCCACTACTGGGCACGAGCCTCCTATCTTTTCTGAGAGGGTTAAGATCAATTTGAAGGCCCCGCTGCTCCAGTGTGTGTTAACGGTCCTTCATCGTTGACCATATAGTTTTTTTTTTAATATGGGAAAGGGCAAACGAGCATGCGGCTACGTACATAGAGTCACTATGTAGGTAGCCGAATACCCGCACCGCCGCCGCGGAACAACTGCAACACCAAGGGAATTGCAGATGCTTTGCCAGCTTTTATAAAAGAGTAGGCTCTTAAACTTTCGTAAACCAGCACTTTATAATCTTGATACGATAGACGAATAAACGATTTCGCAATGATCGAATTCTTTTCACACGCGTACTGTGATTATTCCGCCTGATGATAAGTGATGATGCAGTCAAGCGCACTGGTGCACCCACTTTAAAATTCGATGGTAAGACAGATGCTGGCAAATTATTCCATTCTTTACTGTACGCATTACGAACGACGAAGCAGACCATTTGGTTCGAATGTACGCCGAGCTTTTGGCCCCTAAGCTACCATGGCTCCAATTGCTGTGATATAAAAGTAAAGTAAAGTTACAGCGTATACGTCCCACTGCTGTACACAGGCCTCCGCTCATTTCTGAGAGAGTTTTAGGGTAAGGAATTGTCCGCCGCACTGCCCCAATGCGTGTTGGCGAACTTCACGTGTCTTCGAAATAAGTTTTTTCCTATTTCTCTAACATGCAGGTTTAATCACAATGTTTTCCTTCATCGCCAAGCCCGTGGTAAATCAGCACTTAAAATTGCAATTAACATTTTCATTGGTGCCGGCGGGGATCGAACCCGGGTTGCTCGCGTACTGTGAAATTTACAGCGAGCGCTAACCATCTGAGCTACCGCGGCTCATATTGCTGCGATATACATTCTGTTAATAACTTCTGTTTCTTATACATACTGATGAGTATTTCGTATTGAAGTCGAAAGAATGTTTAACTGTCAATGCGAGACGGCTCCTGAAGACGCGTAACAAGAGACTATCATCATTGTAATCTTCTTATTTACGAGCGACTTTGACCGCGCTATAACGAAAGCGATATTTTATCTCCGACGTACAAAAAACAAAACACCGCGCGAGGGATGTAATGGAACTGATTTTATTCTACTACGCGCCGCTTCTTACGTCCTTGAGACACGCCTTGATATATTTTCATAACGTGTTCGAGAAATTTAGACATGAAGGTACAAACACAAGTAAATAATGTGCCCGATAAAAAATTATGTTACACACGCATGAAGTTATTCACGTTTATTTAGCGAAATATTAAATTTGTTTGCAAGAAAACAGCAATTCTGAGGCACAACAAACTAGTAACTGATGGATAAGTTACACAGTAACTTACGTGAGTTTAAGTTTTCGTATATTTCGAAAGAATGTTAATATGAAGGCACATAAATATATGTTTGTACAAGAATACATATGAACTTATTGTACTACATAAATATACGTCACGCCCGTAATCCTCGTGGGGGTAGGCACAATACAAGCAGCGAGCTACTCGTCGTACCCACGTTAAGCCAAAAAATATGGTTAAAGATGGAAAATTGTGAAATGACCCATCGTCTCCACCATCAAAAGTCCAATATCCCATTGGCTGCTTTTTACAAACTGGACAAGTAACGCTGTTGTAGTAACATATTTTTTTATTATTTTTTTTATAAGTCACACATCAACATGGGATATATAAGTCCCGGACTAATATGGGACAGGTGATCGTGTACCAAATTATAAATTATTACAATTCAACTATTAAATGGAACCAATTCTTAAGGTTTAATATTACTTTAAAACTCGTAATTATAATATAAGTACAAGTTTCTTGTGAAACCATAGTGCTTGAGGGAAAGTAAAGAACTTAAGATATTACAGATTAGGCTTAATTTTTTTATGTGGCTAAGTAGTTTATTGACATAAACTCAGAAGAAATAAAACAACTTCTTCATTTGTTTTCATAGCGTTGAATATTACCTTAGTGTCTTAAAATTATAAGGGTTATTCGAGTCAATTCGAGGTCCGAGGGATGCGGAAATGATTAAATTCTTGTAAAAGGCGCGCAAATCGATCAAAATGTTTTAAGTGCCGAAACTCGGTGTTGAGTATTCAATTCAACGACTATTGAAAATGAACCATTATAAACTTAGATTCCACGAGTTTGTAATAGTAGTATACGAATACCCGTAGTATATGGTATACTAACGACTCCTAGTATAGCCTTTTGATGATTGTACTCTATTGTTTAATTTTGCATTATTTTAACGAATATATTGATCTTAAGCAAATATTCGTCGTCGTTAAATCTTTACTAAAAACTACCTTAAGTAAACATCCTCTCAACAAACAAATGTTACTCTAATTCCTTATTGTTTAAATTGCAACACAGGTGCTGCAATTATTTAAATTTATTCAATTAGTCTATCTTCTTTGTTCGCAGGGCGCAATGAGAGGCTCGCATAGTTCACACAGCACAGGCACAGGCTTTAGAACATCGACGGTGAGTACCATGTAATTCGTTAAGAACTCTACACCGATGCGTACTCGTTAAAATTACCAGCTCACTAACTAACTGCGCTAATTAGGCACTAGGATCTGTGAGAGACAGGACGACGGAGCCTTACTATGAGTTTTATGATTCAGAGGAGAGTTCGATTCGAGAACTGCGCTACTATATTCAATATTTTTGGCGAATTTATAACGCGAAATTATAAGAAATTTACCACAGTGTAAAATATTTTGAAAATGGAATTATTATATATAAATTTTCATTTTTACTTTTCAGAATATAATAACAAATTTTGAATACAAAATATTAATCAAATTAGAATAACAATAAAAATTGGTTTACCTTTATGCTGATTGCCACTGTTTTTTTTAATATTTTTAGTCTAGTCTTTTGTTCGTCTCGGTTAATTCATTTAATTTCTTTTATACGACATTCATATTTATAAAACATAACTCACCCTTAACACGTTCTGTATCGTTTCGTTAACTTATAGTACGCGAGGTAACTGCTCTTCTGTGTATAGAGCAAACTATCTATATAATTTATACTATATGTATATCTATATGTATACGTAACAGCCTGTAGTGCGTGAAAACCTCCCTGTAGAGTTTGTAGCTTAATTGCTCTGTGCCGACGTACTTACACAGCTACAAGCGCGTTTAATTACCGAACATCATGTAAACTGAATTTCGTGTAGTGACATATGTTAACTATTATACATAATCCTTTCTAAGAGTCATCAGTCTTGAACGTGCTTCGCCAGACCGAAGCTACTCTGTGTGCTTTGTATATTAAATCATTATAAATATATTCAAATAGGTACTCGTCTATGACTTTTTTAGTTTTATCCGCATTCCTAAATGAATATTTAAATTAATGTAATAAATGTTTAATACTAAGAGAACAGAATACATAAATAGTACAGGTATTAAAAGTTAATGATTTATTTTAAAATTAAAACCAACAACTTTTACAAACATCGAGAAGCTTATCTTGGATTCAAACTTTTTAAAGTCTATGTTTTTTGACAAAACTCGTTATCCTAGATATTATGTCACTCTGGCTTGGCAACCGATAGAAAAACACTAGGACGAGTATCCCTATGTCTGCGGGCTGTGATTTGTGACCCGCAAACTGCCCTTTACAATCTAAAATCCTACCTTCTAGAAGCCCCTATTAAAAAAGTTAGCGTGGTCTAATTTTTTTTATAGTATTTTGTGACAAACGAGCACATATTCCACCTGATAGTATGTGGATGCTTTGGTCGGTAGACATCCACATTTATTCTCAATTAAGGATCAAAATGCAAATGCGTTGTCACCCCTTAGTACTAAAATGGAATGCCTCGATTCCAGTAAAAAGGGTATCCGGTTCTCCACACTCACCATACGAAACATAGCAGCATTACGCTGCTATTTTACGCTGGTATTCTGTGAGAGCGTGGTCCTGCCCCGGACGAGCCGACCCATTTGTGCTACAACTATAATATAGTTGCAGCGTGGCTCTACCACCTTTTTTTTTCAATTCTTTTAAAATTTTCATAATTTAAAATAGTATTTGCGTTCTAAAAGGCTTCCTTCAAATCCATAACTTCCTTATGTGTGATATCGATATCGTCCATTTTGTTTACTTTCAAAAACAACCAAAGTACACACATAAATCATACAATGCCGAACAGCGAAGTCGTAGTTCGCAATTCGTAGGTATCCATGAAACGGTCGACGTTATTGTGAAAAACGCTGCCCCACAATTGGAAGCGGGCTCGATTGCTCGGAGCGGTCACTTGTAACTCTTTTACCCGGTTCTTTGTTCTAATTGCACCTCTATGCGGTGTCCGCGCCGTGTAACGAACTTCGCAAATGGCCTTTGTTGTTTTTTAAAAGTTTCCCAACTCTGTTCTAACTGTCGCGCTCGGCGTGCGCTTGAAATTTTTCACTAAGTTGAATGTTGTTGGTATTTTATTTTGCTTCCGTGTGTAGTAGGTTACAAAGTGGATTAACAGGTACTTAAATTTTGACGGGATTGCCTTTATCGCTATGTTAATAAAGTACAGATTACAATAAAGAAATATACAATGTTTCACTATTAACTAGCAGTTTAATTTTTTATTAAATTGGCCTGTCTGAAAGTCCACTGTTGATCGTAAGCCTTCCCATAGATTACTTTTTAAGGGTTCCTCCTTAAAAGCCATTTTTTAAAAGCCAATTTGCCATAAAAGTCACTATTGACACTTGCTGCTACTCATCTGTTTCATTTTCGTTTATCGCATCTTACGTTACACGTACGAGATAGTATAGTGTAGTGAATTCACTAGTGGTATTACGAAATCTGCGGCCATTTATCGAAATATGCCGCCATGTTTCACCATCTATCGGTTTTTCTGGCATAAATTATTTAATTAATAATAGTCGCCTCTTATGATACCAATGGGCAAAATAGGTTAATGGATTCTACGCTATCACCACACGGCAACTATATAATAACTGATTTGAAATCTACAAAACAAAATAATATGGTAATTAATGTTAATCCTATTTCATTTTACAATACAAGCACAATTAATTTCGAACAATACTCCAGCCCTTATTCGAATCAAACCAAACCGAACTCTCAATACTATTATTGCCCGCTGGGTTATTAAATTTAATAACGTATGCGGTGTATTTGTTCCCAGCTGCCATTACGGTGAACTACGAGAAAACTAATTGAAGCCAGAGCTATGTTCTAAGCGAAATCGCAAATGCTGAATCTGGAAAGGGAAATAAAAATTCACGACAGATCGCGAACCAAAGTAGTGACGTGCAATAACAGGTCACGTCAGGATCTCGATCTTGATTTGATGACTTGATTCTTTTTTTAATTTGACCAAAAATATGGTTACTACCCATGGTATGGTGGGCTTGGGCACTCTTTAATTTAGGCTGACTAGTCATTAGTCATTAGTCATTTATTCCAAAAACAATATACATTGTGTGCGAAAACTCAATTGTAACAAACATTGTTAAATTTAATTAATTAACATTATACGTGTTTACTAAAATTGTCTACAACTTAATTATTAATTAAACAATGCATGCAATATTAATTCTTACCAAACTCAATATAGTCATTCACTGAATAGAAACATTTTTCCAATAAAAAAGATTTTAACCTTTGTTTAAAAATTTTAACATTATTTATGGTTTTTAGGGCATTAGGTAGTCTATAAAAAGTTTTACAGCTTGATTTCTAACGCTATGCTCAACAACCTGTAGTTTTGTTTTGAAGATATTGGGTATATTCTTTCGTCTCGTATGGTATCTTCTTGCCATTTCATCATCAGTTTCATATCTATTCGGATATTTGACAAGATCAGTGAGTAAAGTAAGAATATACAAACAGGGCACAGTAAGGATTTTCAAATTTATAAAATGTTCTCTGCATGATTGCCTCTGGTGTATGCGAGATATTATTCTAATTGCTCTTTTTTGTAGAATAAACGCTTTTTTTTACATTATAGGCATAACTATTTCCCCAAAACTTAATACTGTATCTTAAACGAGATTCTATTAGAGCATAATATACAATTTTTAATCGTTTCGTGGTTAGTTCTTCCCTCAAGCTTCTCAAAGCATAGCATGCAGAACTGATTTTGCTCTCTATATTATTTAATTCATCTTTCCATGTCAAATACGAGTCTATAAAAACACCTAAGAATTTCACCGATTGTACAAGTGGTATGCAGTTTTCATGTAATCTGATGTTCAAGGTATCTCGCGTTTTCGCTGTGGTTTTGAATAGTATAGCTTTAGTTTTTTCTGCATTCAGCATAAGATTATTTGCATTAAACCACAGAGAAAACGTTAAAAGAGCTCTATTTAGTCTATGGTTGAGATCATTTGTATTCTGTGCCGATATTACCGCATTTGTATCATCCGCAAAGGCCACAATGTGAACTTCCGGTAGAGAGTTATACATAAAGGGGATCAAATCATTTATAAATATGATGAAGAAGATTGGTCCCAAAATGGAACCTTGTGGCACTCCTCTATTAATTTTATCTAATTTAGATTTATACGTCTTTTCAATATTATACTCGATACACTTCAGTTCAACATATTGCTGTCTGTTTTCTAAATAAGACTTGAATAGCTGTAGCATATTTTGCTTTATTCCGTAGTATTGAAGTTTTTTTATTAATATATTATGATCAACCATATCAAAAGCAGAGCTTAAATCCAGAAATAATCCCGCTACTTTCTTTTTATTATTTAAATTTGTGATGACATCATCAATTAATGTATCTATCGCATCGTTACTTCCTATTTTTGGCTGATATCCAAATTGTCGAGTATTTATTATTTTATTATTATGTAGATGTTTAGTTAATCTAACTTTAATCAGTTTTTCAAAAATTTTTGAAATTGTTGGTAAAAGCGAGATAGGTCTGTAGTTTTTAGAGTCATTTTTTGAACCTTTCTTATGTACAGGTAATACTTTTGCAATCTTAAATTCCTCAGGGAAAATGCCCCTTTCATAACATTTATTGTAAAAACTCGCTAATGGTGATTTTAATAAGTCTATGTTTTTCTTAAATATTGAAATTGGTATGTCATCCCAACCACATGACTTCTTGTCTTCCATACTTTTTACAACTTTAGATATTTCCGAAGGTGTTATGTGATCCCAACACATATCATTTTTGCAAGGTTGTACATTATGCTCAAGAAACTTCATTGATAGTTCTATGGAACCTCTCGAGGGTGATAGGCCATGATCAAAGTTTTCCGCAAAGATATCCACAACTTTTTGAGTACTTTTGATATATTTGTTATTATGCTTTAAGATAAATATATTCTCGTTTACATTGGGAATTTCTTCCTGTGTTTGTTAACTACACCCCAGATCATCTTAACTGAGTTATTCGATTTCTCTATTTGCGACTGTATTGATAACCTTTTGGCACACCTAATCATGCATGACTATGCAGTTGATAACATACTACTAGCAAT